TGGCACTATGCGCGTGGGGTGTGTGCGCAGGCGACATACTTTCGCAGGCCCGCAAAGGACAATGGTTCGCCCAGTCGCTGTGCGTGCACCATTGACACTCTTTCCCATAAGCGAGAAACGAGAGCTTTTCTACAAGCGACATCGCCGAGCCCAGAAGTTGTCCCCTGTGTGGAAAGTTGTCCTTTGTACATCGTCAGTCCCTCTCGGTGATGGTTTCCAAGAGGTGTTCGAACAGGTACTGAAGGGGCATCAGCACGACCAGTAGCCGACGGGTCAATTGAGTCCAGGCTTTCACGGCCTTGTCTTCCGGGTTCGAAGTCTCCGGTGGAGCATGTCGGCTGCGCTTCTGGCCGGTGTTCTGCATGGCAGGCGGAGTAAACCGGTGAGGTCGATGCCGGGACGTCTTGAGTTTTGTCAGGCTCCGGCGGTTTCATGCACTGTTCATTCAATTTCAGGACCTCGAATTATTCCGGAAGCGAAGTTCCTAAATCTTCTGATTGGGCTCTTTGGAGTGCGGTCAGTTGGAGTTCCGTAAACTGTTGAAGTGGAATTCGAAGTGCTCCGGTTGGTCCAAGATGTAGGGGGACTGGTTCGTGGTTTCCACGAAGTCGAAGTTGGAGGCCTTTCTCAAGACACAACCCTATGTCACCATGACAATGAAGGAGGAAGCTGAGGGACAAGAGGAACGGTGCGTGGGTGCTCTCGTCGCTGTCGAAGACCGCTGGTTTCAGGAGACTGCCTTTCACTCCCAGTGAGCTGGGTATACCCGGCTGGTAATCGATGTTTTGTGAACGCTCCTGAACTTGTTGGTCTCGGGGTGAATGGTGATCTTCAGGCCATGTGGTAGATGTTCACTGAACTTCCTCAGGGTGGTGGCTCCAATTGCCAGTCTCTGGCATCCAGTGTCGACTGTGGCGCAGGTAGCGTCATCTGGGGTTGATTGGGAGTACTGGGATACCAGATCGCAGAACATGTTTTCGTAGAAAAACAAGCTACCAACACCCACATAACCAATCTCACCTATTCCCAAACCCAAAACCGTATCACTCTCCGTATATGACCGAGCGGTCAGTCTGTGATTCGAGGCGGGGACTACGTCTGTACAGTCCGACTGGCCTTCGATCGAAGTCCTCAGGATGAGCGGCTCAGGTGTTCTTGTTCCTGTCATCTCAAAAGACGAGGCGCTGGTTGGTCCATGGCTGGAGAGGTTCTGGTCGATGAACTCTTCCTTCTCCAGACTGCCCACAAAATGCACCTCGGGTGTGCTTTCCAAAAGGTGTGTCTCGTTTGCTCGAGACGTGCTCATCGACGAGGAGCTGCCTGGCTTCATGGGAGGATCCTTGCAATCCCGTTTCCAGTGGCCGATCTGACCACATTGCTGGCAGCGGGTCCTCTTCTGCAGCTCAGCAATCGTTACAGAGTAGGATCCAGGTCGTAGAGGTCGATCTCGATCTCCCCGATTCAAGCTGAAGTTTGGTCGTCGACCAGCTCCATAGCCTCGGGCGAGTTCCTTGGTTTTCTTGTCCTTGATCGACTGTGTATAGGTCTTCTTCTGCTGGAGGTAGGTGGGGATTCACTCAGGGCGGTGTCTTCCGAGGGTCCTTCGTCCTGGAGCTCCATGATGTAGTGCTCGATGTTGTCGATCTCCTCCTGGTCGGTGCCATTACCCTCAATGACCTCCTCAGTGGCATAAACGCCTTCATACTCAGTGTGGAAGGTGCCAGCTGCTTTCTTCCGGTCGGCCCCAAGTTCTGAGGCTGACAGCTTGGTCTCATTCTTTCTCAACCAGCTCTTGATGGAACTGGGCTTGATGCAGCCGTGGGTGTAGTTCAGCAAGGCCTTGGTGTCGCTCTCGGTCAGCTGCAGCCCGTTGATCATCAAGAAGCCTTCATACTCAGGCGGAAGCACAATCTTGTGTTGTTGGACCTTTCGAATGGCGTTGTCCCACTTGGCGAAGTATTCCCTCGGATTCTGTTTTCTGCCGCCGGAGGTGGTAGGTGAGGCGGGACATGGCCGTCAACATGTGCTCCTGCTGGTCATCTCCGAAGCGTTCGGGCTTATCCATATCTCTAGAAGGCGTCCAGCACCTCGCGGATCTCCGAGCCAGGTCGGATCTTTTGCCCAGTGTTTGTAGAGCTCGAATGGTGTTCCCGTCAACATCTTCAACAAGAGAGGCCCTCAATCCACAATTGGGCCTTGATGTGATAATCCTCGAACGGGGTCTGTCCATCCCATGATGGTGGAGGTCCGGAAGCCCCTCTTCCTTCTCCACTCTCATCACCTTCTTCATCTTCTCGCTCACGGCGGCGCCTATGACGTGTCGGACCGCGGCCTTCATCTCTCTCCATCTGGAGAAAGCGTTGGAACCGAGCGAAGGCTTCCCGGTCACTCCCCAAAACGTCCTGCGCGCCCTAAGCCCCCGTGGAGCCAGCGGCTGGCGAGCCGCCGCCTGGCGGTTCATCCAGGTCGCCATCCGAAGGTGGAATGGCCTGTCTATCGGCCATTCAAAAACCTAGACGGGATGGGGGCTGGTGACCACCAAGAAAAAGAGTCAAACCCAAACCAGCCCGGTCGGAACCGGGCTCCGCTACCACTATGAAATCGGGGGAACCGCAACAGACCCAACAAGCAAGAACAAGACTCTTTTTCCGGTGGACACAAAGCCCCCATCGAGTCTATCCTAAGTGCTTGCCTTGAGTCGAGCGTGGGCGTCCAGTGCATTTTCACCTATTCATTTTGAGCAGGGTTTAGCGTTTCGCTACAGCCAGGAGCAGAAGGAAGTTCACTGACTTACCTCCATTTCAACAAAGATGGTGATTTTGAGTTGAGCCACTTGCAGGCCCATTATCTTTAGCTTAACATCAACTCTTCATGGCCTTCATGGCCAATTACAAGAAGTGTTGTGTTTTTGCAAAGCTTGCCATTGCGAGTGTTCTCTGTAACAAGTCAGCTGGGTGGCAAACCTAACGAATGTCGCGGCTCAACGCATGTCGCAGCAGATCCCGGTATGCGGATTTGTCATTGTGCACACATCATCATACATCTTCGATCAATCATCTCGAAGCTTGCAACAAACAAGTATCTATAGCAAGTGCACGTCCGGTTCAGCAAATAATTAAGGACGTCAAACATCAAGTGCGAAAGTCAATAGCCCCTAGGCCCCGCCAACACACAGGCACACACCCATTTTCCCAGGTTGCATACTTCACATAGATTACTGTACATGTTTTGTCGCAGGCGTGGCGAACCTCCTCGGTTATTGAGGTTGGTGTCCACCAATGATTATAACCGGCTGCCCCATGGAATGCATTACATAGGAGTAAGCCACCACTAAATAAACCCTGACAGTTGCTTAACATTGCAGAGTATTTGTCCAAAAATTTTAGTTGGGAATGTGGGAATAGGGAGTTGGGAACAGGTGAAAGGACATGAAAGGAAAGCAGAATAAGTGTCCTTGATTTGGACAATTATAGGAAAAGGGAGTTGGATAATTGTGAAGGGAACATGACATGAAAAAGAGTCAGGACCCAAGTAAGCGCATCATGCCGATAAAACCGAGTTGATTGTTCAAACAAGCACGGTTGCAAAAACATTGCAGCAACAATGAAAACACAGAGCAAATAAAAGACAGTCTTCCAGCAGAAAGTCAGCCTTTTTATTGTCGTGTATTATTAATTATTGGTCGATGGAAATGTCCTTACTTCAATTCTGGCTGTTTCTTCATCATAGGTGGACACTATGTTGATGACAAATGATTGCTGATGAAAAGATGAGGTGATGTGGATGCAACGACACGTTGTCCTGCAAGAACTTGGTGATTCTACTTAAACAAAGCCCAGTTGAATCCTTCAACTTGCAAACAAGTACAATTTTTAAATGTGTTCAACCCTTGGCTCAAACATGGACACACAATGACACACACACACACACTAGATTGCTCCAAGCCCTGAAGAAACCTCAGTGTGAAAGAAGCCAGTAGTGCAAAGGGGCCCAACCATCCAGAAGCTTCAAGTTCCAAAAGCTGTTCAGTTCCGAAAGGTGTCCATTGCCAAAAGGCTTCAAGTTCCAAAGAATCTTAGTGCGAACGAAGAACTTTGAGAGCGGCGAATGCACATCTGACCTGAATCATCCTGTAACCGCGTAAAGAGCATTAAATAAAGACCTCTACGATTGGAGAATTGCTAAACCATTCACAACGCAGGTGCAGGTATGCCGAGTTGATCAGACTCCATATCCCATGATTGGTAGCTTCGTTGAGTGCCGTCCCACAATCATGCCGCACTCCCTTCTGTCATAAAACGACAGCCAAAGGGCTCGCTATGATTCCAAGGGTTAATTACACACGCATGCTTGAGTGTATATATACCTTTTGGGTGACCGGTGCCCTCCCGTTTTTGTTCAGTATTTCCTGCAATGCCTCCTTTCGAGTCCAACGTGAGGAAGCTGGGCATGTCCTCCGACGCTTGCGAGCGATTTCGCCGGATGGCCTCGCAGCTCGACTTCCAAGGCGAGCTGGAGGGGCCGGAGGGACGACCAGGATATATTATATATATATATATCATATATATATCATATATTATATCTATTGTATATTTTATCTATATATTATATTATTTATATATTCTATATTTTTTATTATATATTATATTTACTATATTTATTATATATTATATATATTATATATATAATATCATATATTATATATATTATATATAGAGATGCACATGGTATCAAGGAACGTGTATATGTTGGAGGCCATCACTATTAGGTTGGAGGCCTTGTTAGTAGGTTGAATCAAGAGACTTCAGGAGTACTCAGCACATCTCAGCACTCAGGTTAGGTATTTGTGGAAGTCCACAATGCCGGGCAGGGTAGGTTCATTTCTCCAAAGCTGGGCAACCACCCCGAAATCCAGACTCAAGACCTTGGAAACCTCACTTGGGAACAGCATCGCTCCAACCTCCAGTTTAAGACAATTGCATTAGAGTTTTGTTGAACATTGAAGAAGGAAAACAAATACGAATCAAGGGCAAGCTGTGACCCCGTGCTACATGCAATCATTTTTGCTTGCCAAATTTTGAGGAGGCTTGTTCATGTGAGAATCCGTTCGAGATTGTGGGGAGCATACCGGATTTTGTAACTGGTCAATTTGTTTCTTGTTTGTTCCGCCGACAGGAATAGCTCCTTCGACATGATTCGCAGTGAGCGCGAAGGTGTTGAACATATTTCAATTCAAACCTGGCATGGCGAGAGCGGTGAGAGGATATCGAGGAATACCAAAGCCCCCTTCAGCCAAGTGCTTGATGAATGCTTTCGTCACCAGGTGCCTTATAGAATCGGATTCCGGAACCATTTGAAGGCCGCCAGATTGCTGTAAGCACATCCAAACTAGAGCCTAGAGCCTTGCTGAAACCTATTCGTATCATTCTCAGTATTCAGGTTCAGCGTTAGTTGATTGTTTTGTTTAGCCAGCTTTGAACACAAGACCACATGACATCCTTACCATATCCTTGCTGGTGAAATGGAAACAAATAGTTTGTGAACCAATATGAACAGACAATGTCACAACTTTGCTGTTCTAAGAAATTCATCAAAAAAGACAGTTCATCACAGGGCCCGGCCCGTACTTAGTGCATGCAACATGGGCCTGATTGCACGAGTTCAAATTCGATTGTCGCTCCAGCTTCTTAACACCAATGGAACTACACACAAGATCACACAATAATTTTTGACATGGGAAGTCCTTGACAGAATCAAAGCTTCAGCCTAGAGCTAGACAGGAGAGTTGGGACAGTCAGTGAATGGCTCTTTAGCTTCCGCTTCCAAGTTGCTCTAGTCCTAGGGGAGCAGGCAAGTGCTGATGCAGAACTTACACATCGGAGCAGCAGAATGGCTTGGCTGGCCGGACCGTCCCTGACCTTTCGGTGGCGTTCTTTCGAAGCTCATCACACTTGGCCTTTGTCCCAAGCGGTGCTTGTCCACGGAGAGTTTGATGCTTTCAGATGAATCAAGACAACCATTCAGGATCAAGTATCTAGTTCAGGCATTTGGCAGGAGCATGTTCATCTACAAGACGGCTTTGTTCCATGAATGTGTACCGCATTTTGTATTGATGCGCCCAGTTCATCCCTGGTGCACGTTGCGATCTCTGTGGACAGATTGGGTATTTGCTTGATCAAGTCTTTTGTCTTGATCAACATGTCCCGACTGGGAATGGATGTAGTGACCGTTCCTACGCTTGTGCATTTTGGCAGTGGTTTGTTTGCAATCTATAGACTTTGTACAAGTCCGGATCTGCGGCAACGAGAAAGGGTAAACGGTTTTTCTTACTTTGCTATACAAGGAGGCACAATCTGAGAAAGACCTCATTGGCAGCGTGGGTCCATGTTGTGGCTTTTGCCAGCTACCACCTTGTTGAAGACTTTTTGTGGACTCGGAATGCAACATTTCGTTCCATGACTAAGCGACATTGGTAAGAAAGGGTGCCAGTCTGACCAGCAATGCGCATCAGGGAGTGTTTTGTTTGATTTATATAAAGACAAGATTGAAGTATCAGTATGAGCATCGCTACTAGAGCAAGTGCATCGCTACTAGTAACAAGGGCATTACTACTAGTAGCAAGAAGCTGCTAGGAGCTTCTAGTGGTCAGCCACATCACATCCAGAAGCTTCAGAAGCACGTATTCATTCGCTATCTCCACTACCATCAATGTACTATAGGCAGAACGATACTGAAAGGCTTAACTGAATGCACACATACTGCTGGTGCGACAGCTACTTCCCTTTCATTTATTTGCCGGCAGCCACTCTCTGGCAAACAACCGTCTTCCAGGGGTGCCTGCCAAAGGGTGTCAATATTGTTTGGTCGAAAGTTGGAAGCAGGTTCAGGGATCTTCCGGTCTCAGGCATTGAACTAGGTAACTAGGACAATGACACCAGACTGCCAAAAGAAGTGCGGTGTCCGCATCTGGTCACAAGGACCAATGGCGACATATGCGCACGTAGAGGCCGAATGCTTGGAAGAAGTGTATCCGCAGATAGAGCCATGACATTTTGCTGCTATCCATTCAATTACCATCAATTACACCCTCCCAAGACTGTGTTTCTGCAAGCAAGAAACTTATTGACTTACGTACACGCTTTGCGTTGATGATGACTGTTTGCGTTTGAATCTTTGTGTTGCAGGGGCTTCCCATCCACATACCAGGTTTGGAAGAAGGTTTGAATAGACAAATTGAACCAAATGCTTGCTGTGAACTTTGAACCGCATGCTTACTCTTGTGCGCTGTAGATGGCAGTTCAATAGGCAATGCGCTTGGCTGATTTTTGAACGTGATGAGCAGCGACCCAGCCACTGTTTCTGTCAATTGAGTTGTTTAAAGAACGCCGCCTGAGATCTTGGCTGTTGCCAGATAAATGGTCCATGCGAATCATGGCTTCAGCTTCGTAATGAATATTTTTGATCCATGAAGATTGATTGGACTTGTGTCAAAAGGACCCATCAAGAATCCACCCATCAAGATTACTGCTTTATAGAACGAAGGGGAAGGGTTCATGCAATGTTCGAAGTGTGAGAAGAGTGTCCACTACTTAATTAAAGGGAGGGAGTGGCACCTTTCTGTGATCGCTGACGTTTGATTGAAATCAGCACGTCTACAGTATTTACTACCATGATTACCATGAAGTGAGGATGATTGCCATGACCTCTATTGGACCAAGCTCCCATTTTGTGAGCCACCATGTTCGTGTAAATAGCAATAGGATCCACTCGTCCTTGCACTTTCTTGTCGCAAGAAATGGAGGACTTGTCGATTGAGTCAACGAGGATAGTACCATGTGTGATGTACCGGTTGGATGTCTCAGACGAGGCATTTGGCAGTCGGACGACCTGTGTAGCGTCCGATCGCTCCGTTCGTAGCGATGCCCTTTCTTACGTTCGTAGCGTCCTCTTGTTACTAGTAGTACGGCCAGGAGCCCCTAGTAGCTTCTTGCTCCGTTTGTAGCGATGCCCTTGTATAAAAGAAGTTATGCTGTTGCTCAAAGTTTGTGGAGGAATCTTTAGCAAATAGACGTAGAGTCGTAGAGAATCAGAAGGCAGTGATGAAGTCAAGAAACAGACTTGCTGACACTACGTGGATGAACTGGCTTAGAGGTGATTCCTCATCCTCAGCCGAATTGGTGAACAGATGCGCCGGTGTTCTTGACAGCTCGACTCCAGAGACTCGAGATTTCTTCGCTTTGGCTGCTTCTTCGTAAGTGAACAGAGGATGCTTGTGGAAGAATCTACATAGCTTCTCGTGTGCTGGAGAGGAAAGATCCTTGTTAAAGATGAGATCTGAGACTGGCTTGATGTGTTTTGCCTGAAGGTTGGCGTTAAATATCTTTAAATGGTTTACATGGATTTCATCGTACATTTTACAAGCATGCATTCTTGCCCAACAAAATCAAGGATACAGTAGTCACCATTGAGATTGGTGGCCCTCCCAACCACAATGCTTTGCGCAAAAGGCCTAGTTGAGCTGCACACCAGAACACCCGCGCTTAGCCTTTGCTGCAAATTCTCATGGGGTGCCTGTCGTGAATGGGGAGTGACTCTCAGTGCGACTTGGGACCTGTCAGGCCGTATTGGGCTGGACGGCTCCCCCACGGGTCATCGAACGAATGCTGTACAACATGGTGAACATAAACTCTATACATCTAGGAACCACAGGCTAAAAAACACTCTCACCTCGACGTTCTGAAGGCATCCCCTTCACGTTGTCCCCATGTGCACAAACTCCAGCAGGCGACATTTTCCCCTAGAGTGTGTTCCTCCTGAAAAGATGTGCGGAGTGTGCTGCAGTGAAGTTGCTGCCCTTTTGGGGATGTGGCGCTGTGTTTTGCTTGTTTGATAGATTTGATAGATGGGCAGACTTGCACACAGAACAGCGCATTGACAAGCTTGCTGCCATCCCCGCGCAGGAAGCGGTGGAAGATGACTCGCTTCGTTCAGAGACTTTTTCTTTTCTTGCTAGGTGCCAAAGCGCGTGTTTGTATATTTTCTGAGCGGCGTTGTCCACTGAGATTAAGCAGTTGCAAGAATCGTGATTTTCCAAGCGCAGCATACCCCAATTCTGTTTATATAGATGTGGTACAATGTACTGTACTATTTTGTGGCTGCTCAACTCCACGACTTGGTTCTGGGCAGCGAGCATTTTGCCCTCCTGACATCATACATACACAGATAAGTTGCCTTTTGTTGCTTTTCTGCATTCATGATTTTCTGGAGCCCCTCCCAGCAGTGGCACCCTGACCATTATGATACTTTGTAGGCCGTGTGTGGTTGCCAGATAACCTTCATCACCGCTACTTTGATGCTGTGCTTGCAGTGCGGCATGTTGTTTTCAGTAGCCATTGATGAGTGTCTCCTGACTTGTTGGATTCGACTTCTTGACCGAAGACCGTTTTCTCATTGAAATTTCATTGACGTCGTTTTCTTTCTGGAAGACTTTTTGAGAGAACACTTTTGTGATCTCAGACCACCTTTTCTCGGGCCGCTGTCCAGGTGTGCTGCAGATTTGCCTTTTTGCCAGCAGTGAGCTCAATGCTTCGAATGTCTGAAGCCCAGTGCGTAGTCAGCAGATAGAAGCCCGGTGCGTGGTAGACCAAGCTGCACCAAGCTCTTTTGTTTCGGTGAAAAGCTTGCCTGAAGTTTTTGTGTGTTAAAGGAATAGTGTAAAGTTCGTTGTTGCCAAAGAAGCAGCTTCCTGACCGAGCCCCACTAGCAACTAGATATATAGATGCGAATAGCAAGCACCGCCAACAGCAGCAGCAAATTGGCGCACTGAACTGAACTCCAAAATGTGTCTACCGTAATTTGGTCAGAATTGCCAATGTGTGTGTGATTGTGTGTGTGGCCTCCAACTAGTAGCGTCGCTCGTTGTCATCTCAATTTGGCAGAGGTAAACTATGTAACCCCCTAACCACCAAGACGAACCTTGACTTGTTTATAGAATTCCTGTATATTGGAGATGCATTTGCACGGGGGCATATTGATAGATAGCTATAGAGAACCGCCTATTCATTTGTTTTTGTCTTCAATGTTTTTACAGATACAGTACAGGTTTGTATGGTGCCCTTGTAGAATAACTTGAAAGAACTTTTGGAAGCAAAGCAATCCCGCAGACTAGCAGACATTTTGTACTTGCTTGCATTAGCTTACCACCAGTGATTATATAGACCAACCTGCAGCCACTCAGGGTGCACTCATCAACTATTGGCTGGCCATGCTCTTCGGCTGTGCCGGAGAGTCGTTGCTCAGCACGTCAGAGACCTAAGTGCAATTTTAGCTGGACGGAGTCCGAGTATATAATTGGTTTGACTATTTGACTTGCTATTAGATAGCAAGCGGCAGAGTTTGGCTTGTCCGGAATCTGAATATAAAGGCTTCCATTTGTCTCCCCGTGAAAGCTTTGAGAGACAACGGTTTGAATTGTGGCCCTTGGCAGCGCAGAGTTTCCCAGGTACGACATTCGGGGTCCAGTGAGGCAAATCATATTTCTCGTGCTATTCCTCTTCATGTGAGATTGGTGAAGATACTTGAGCCATTGCCGTCTTGCAGATGGCAGCAGCGCCCTTCATGCACAAAATATACCCTACAAGAAACCTGACCTTTTCTAGAAATTCTTTAACCAGCAGTATGTTGTAATCTATTTCGATTCTACAACGGTGTTATCCAATTTTACAGTACCTTGTGCAAGAGCCTGCATGAAAAAGAATGTGCGGTCAGAAGAATCAGCAATGCTTCAGCTTTGAACAGCTGTTCAATTTGCTAAATCTCCAGAGCAGAGTATGGGCTCTGGAATTGGCTGGTTGTGTGGGTGTGTCAGCGTCAAAATAGAAAGGCCACTTATTGCAGCTAAGTTGTGGTCCTGGTCAGGCGTTCGTTCTTGGATTGGATCCACCTCAAGGAGTTTCGAGACAAGCCCCGAAGAGATTTGACTGCCACGTGAGTTTCACATCTTCGACTGTTTTAGTCACGACAAGGAGGAAATCCAGCAGACTGCTTGGATAAGGATGGATCAGGCCACTTCAGGCAGAGAATTAAAGCCTGTCGCCGCCACAACTTTCTCTCGTTCGCCAGTTTAGATGCCAAATATAAACTGAGAGCACCATGCTGCTCTTCGACGTTGAACCTATCAGCATTGCAGCAGAAAACAACAGTGTATCCCTGGTAAAGCAGAGTCATCGACCGGACATTTGGACAACATCCAACAGAACTACCGTGTAGTTGTTGACATTATTGCTGTTGCTGACGTCATGACAGTATGGCAAGGAAAATGGGAAGAGTCTCTTTTGCCGGGCTATCCAAAGCCCCAGCAGACTAACCCACCAACCTCCCAGGCATCCGGCAGGCCGGATATAACTGCACCTACCCTCCAACAGACCACTGAACACCAGCAGCGCCCGGCACCATGCCGCTGACCTTCGACTTTGGCCCAGAGAATCGGCCAGATGTACTGGCGAAGCGAGCCAAAACACCAGTCACCTTGCTGGCGGGCTTCCTGGGGTCCGGGCACCTTGGCAGTTGCTGTGTTCTTTGATTCTTTGCCGTGTTCGGTTTGGATCCAAGACATTCCAAGACCCATGTTTGGGTACCAAGGAAAACCACGTTGCTGAAACATTTGCTGGAAAACCAGCATGGGTTGCGCATTGGAGTTGAAGCTAGGCAACAATTAGAGAGGCAGGGATTTGTTGGAACGGCCGCGGACAAGGGTTTTCGATGAGCGATTTTTCAAGTAATTACGGCCCGTGGTTTGAAGGAATCCAAAACAGGCAGCAGCTCATGTTGTTGAGATGGCAAGGGCTGTTGCAGCATGTTGTTCAGTGGAGCCGAAGCGCATTGGTCATTGCAGAAGCGCATGTGCAAAGAGGTTGATGGGTAGCTTCAATATTTACCGCTTCCCGCACTGCACACTGGAAGCAAGTCAACACAACGATGAAGTAAGAATCGGTGCGTTCAAACACGTACACCACAAGCCACCATCATCCTGCGTCCATAGTAGTTTCCCATTGCTCGTAGCTTACCTCCTTACTTAATTAAGTAGGCACCTACTTAATTAAGTAAGGAGGCAGGGCCACGGGCTTTAAGGGTAAAACATAGAGCCAAACTCAGGTTGTCAATGACCTGGCCTCCGTCAACATCGACTCTCAGCTAATGCGGCGGTATGATCATGGCCTCGTTGAGATTGCTGAGCTGCAAAACGGTTGCTCAGATGAGGATGGTTGGCCGCTGGAACATGCTGGAACAGAAGACAAGGAGGCCACAAGGGATGCACAAGCTTAAACAAGCAAGTATTTGCCTATGTACTGCGGTGCTTGAATGTGTTTGTAGGTTTGTGTGTGAGCTGGGAGTCTTTTTGAGGCAGGCTATTGGGTTCGAAGTAGCGTTGAGTGTCACACTCAGGCTGTGTTTGCTGCTCTTCTGCAGATGACCTTTTTTCAGCCGTGCAGACCATTGCCATGCGCTCTAAGGACAGGTGTTCAACAAAAGGCAGTTGAAAGACAGCTCAACGAGTCAGTGATTCATTGCTGTCTTCCTTGCGTAACTGATTTGCCTCTCGCAGGCTCTACATCTACTGTCCCTTCATGCAGCAAATGGAGTATTTGTAGGTGACCTGTCCTTGAGGATTGCCCCTTTGAGCACATTCTTGTTGAGCTGAGCGGCATTGGAGATCCGCAGGTGTGATAGCACTGGAAGTAGCAATGGAGGATGTCGTGTGTTGGGACAACGGTGGTGCGCTTGCTTTAAGCCTTGCTCTGACTATAGTTTGGTGCAGAGGTCATGCAATTGAGTGTAATTTCGTCCTGGATCTTTGCCAAAAGTCACAGAGAAGGTGAGTTGTTTCTTGAATTTTGTTCCTCATTTCTTAGAACCCTTGGAACAAGAAGGTGTGGAGTCCCTTGGAGCTGGCTTTCAGGGTTTTCCGTTTCGTTCTCAACATTCTTGAGTAGCCCGTGCAGAAGGGATCGTGAGCATGTCCGAGCGCAGGGTTACCCCCGAATCGTGCTTGCAAAGCCAGTTTAAATGCTAGTTATAGGATTAATATGGATTAATGATTGTGTTTATGAAGGTTTATTTATGTTTGTTTGTTATGCTATGGCCATCTATGGCTATGTTGAAACGAAGCCGGTCACGAAGCTGAACGGGTTGTCCATCCGTGTCGAAGGCGATCCGCTGCAACTGGGCTTTGGCAACAGACTGTCAGCTGCCAGCGGCAATGTTGACACAACTGGCCAAAGTCATCACAGTGGTGGATGTCACGTGGTGAGAATACGGGTGAGAATAAGGGTTTTTGTGCTTTATTGTTTCTTTATCCCGTTACCCTCACCCTTACTAATTAAGTAGGCACCTACTTAATTAAGGGCTAACAAGGCTAACAAGTACCCTACTACCTACTGGACGCAGGAAAGCTCACGCTTCAATTCAAGGAAGCTCTCCCCAGGGTGGAAGGGAACTTCCTAGATGTTCGTCCTTCTACGACAAAGAACTACCCTACTGCGGGGTTTTGCCGAGTGATGTAGAAAAGGCATCCCAAAGACTGCGGGAAATCTCCAACTTCCGCTTGGGAGGAATCCTTCGCCCATTGATATCAGCATCTTTCACAGAAGGTGGTTTTGCTTGGCAGCTGTTTGAGGCAAGCGCCTTCCTGGCAGATTGGAGAGACACAAGGAAGGCTCGCTGCATAGAGGAATTGATACAAGCAGCGCATGTGCAGCGCCTGAAATCATGTAGCGTTTAGATGCGTTCATATAGCAGATCCGTGTTCTGTGTGAATTTGGGCGATCCATTTGGCTTCACCCTCCCAGGCCTTGGAGAGGAATGGCTCTGCTGAGCACGACGGGCGAGGGAGCCATGGCCGAAGAAACACACCCAACACACCTGAAACCAACCAGACCCTCAAAGGCGCTGGAAGATTGAACTCTGACTTTTTTGGGGAGATGCTCCAGCGCTGCAATAAGCACCCTTTATCCATCAAGAATCGTCCAGTGCAGAAGTAAGCCATGCAAAGTCAGTGCGCGTTTAAGGCGTGGTAAAGGCTATAGCACCAGCAGAGAGATGGTTGGTAATCTCCTTGCGGAGCAGATTGAATTGGCGGATGCATCGACCTCAAGATGTGTCTCATCAGGTCAAGATTGGTGAACCGCTTCAAATCTTTGGAGTCACCCCTGTTGCATCCTCGCAACTGCACAAAAGCGCTGTATCTTTTTGGTTGTTCTTAAGAATGTGTACACTAATAATCAATTTGAATCAGAATCAGCTTTTGCAGCATGGGTTTGAACTGGTACCTGTTCAAAACATTCAGGTGTTGGTCGTCAACAAATGTGACCTTGCAAAGGCGGAGGAGCTGAGCGACTTGGTGACCAACGTAAGCTCAACACTTTGAAAATCCATTGCGTCAAGCCTTTTTGTGGGAAACCTGAGGCAAAACTCTACAAACATTGCGGGCCATCAATCCGACAGCAGAGCTATGCCAGAGTCTTGCTACAGTTTGTGAGAGGATGGGATGAAGTCCAGTAATCCAGTTGACAGTCGGTCTATGCATGTGGCTTTATTGAATTTGGTCGAGGGACGCCGATTGTCTGGCAGTTTTGATCTCAGGACGGAATTTGCTCGTGTGCCTTCCGCCGTGCTCCCACCTGTTCCCATTGGCCTAAAAATTCAAACTGCTGGGCAAGAAAAAGGTGCCTTGTTTGCAATGGTCCTCTTGTGCTTCGCAAAGCTGTCGCTGTGCAGTGCAATTATCAGAGGCAAACGGAAGGGTAGTGCACAGAAAGGGTTTTGCAAAAACCTATTCTACTAACATCGTGGAAGGCGCGGGACATTCGTAGAACCCAAGGCCATTCGTGGATAGTTCGTGGAGTGGTGGGCCAGTAGGAGAACTGACTGCAACGAAATCCTAGCAACCTTCGCAGGACTTCGTGGAAGGTATTTTTGATGCACTAACTTCGTATAAGCGATTTTTGCTGACCCCCTTTCTCCACACACCCTCCATTTAGCCTTCAAATTAGTTGAGAGCCGAGAGCATGTAGGATAGGACCAATGCCAATTAATTGAAGGATTTATTTACGAAGATTTATGCACAAAGTAGTATGCCAGGTAAACCAGGTGAGCAAAGAGTCCGTTTGACCAGTGATTGTCACTCCGATGTAGCTGTGGGTCAAAACAGTGTATGACAAGACACCAAAACATAATGTAGACGGACTCCAAATCGCACTGTCCAGATCTCCGTTTGCTGAAAACACTCTTTCAGAGTCTGAATGAGCAGAATCACGAAGGTTATAGCTGGACACAGACCACCAAGGAGGTTCAGCTCAAAATGCCCATCGAGAAGCAACTTGAACATGTTTACAGTTTTCACAGGAGTGTGTTCTCTTCAGTTTGTTTCAATACATATTGATGGAAAAACAAACGCTATTAGGAGGTTGGAGGCCATCGTTGTAGGGGCATGACCCGGCATGGCCGTTTGTTTTGTACTACAGTTCAGCAAAGTGTCAAATTTGCATTTTGCTGCTTGCGAGCAACCGTGCACTAAGTACGGCATTGGCAACTTCAACCAAATCGATTTACATCTCCATTTTTAGGTCTTTTGTCCTTGCGAAGGCACGTGAAGGGCAAGGATATTGACTTTACTTTGAGGAAGGGCTCCTTGACGCCAGCCAGACCCGCTTGAGACTGAACACATGCAATGGTTTGTTTGACCAAACATAAACCATTATAAAACAATAGAACCCTGAAAGAGGTGCTTACATTGTGCAAGAACGATGTTATTTATTCTATTATTACGGCTTGAGCTTTTAGAGCGAACGAAGTGAGTTAAGGGGGTGTGGGTGGGAGGGTGTTGAGAGGGACATGAGGGTGAACCCAGAGCTTGGTAGGGGAGAGCGCTCCAAAGCGAGTGTCAGAAAAGCAGTGAAAATGGGGTCTGCTGATGCGAGTGATGCAATGGACGCCGAGTAGTCTTTTCACACGTGGAAGATAGCAAAAATTACTTTTACTTGATAAGGGAGTAACCGAGCATGGATCGGGCCTTGACTTTGGCACCTGCGTGTGTAGATCTTTGGGCCGTGGACCCAGCAGGCTGACTGGATTCGGCCAGGACTGCCAGCAAAAAGGCGACGTCATGAGTCAGTAATATAGAACTTATCTTTCTATCTATCTGCACCGGCAAGCCGGAAAACGTTCGGTGCGCGTGGACGCCGCGAGAAGCATCCACTCGCTGAGGACACGGTGCAAGTATAGTTTTCGCTAGGGGGCAGGAGCCCCATGCGGATATGTAGTCAACCTCGCAGGCACCCCCACCGAATCTCAATCCAAATTCAAGGACTTGAACTCATGTCACTTTCGGTTCTCTATGGATTTCGCAAGTTACGGGTTGCCCTGGGAACTCGTATCCTACATGCGGCTGCGGTCTGCTCTCCAAAGCCCTTAAGGATACTAATGACGTTCGTTTTATAGAGGCCCCTTTAAAGGAAAAAGATTGTGTTTTGGATCGAGCCAGAACATGACTCACTCAAGTCCAGGCATGCGCCAAATCAAAAAATGCCGCTTTTTCGACGCGCCGCAGTATGCATTGCAAACTCCAAATGTAACAAACACATAAATGCTTCTTGTCAAACGCATGCCGTTCTCGCGCGTGCGCGGCGATTCTGACTATGGAGAAGCTTTTCCTGCGCGCGCGCGCACGCACGTGGTATCCCACCACTCGAACTCAGACGGTATTTCCCTCTCGCTAACGCTGACGTCGCCTTCCAACTTCCATAAGATGTATACCTTCCCCCATGTGACAAACACATGCCATTGCCTTGTGTCTTGTGCCGCGACGCCCGCCAGAAAAAGAGACACTCGTCTGGCGGCTGCTGGCTTTCGTCCCCCCCTTCTCAGGTATTATATATATATATATATATTGTGTTATATAAACTTGTCGTTACATATAAGACAAGATGCCAGCGGAGTTAAGGTGCTTTCAGCATTTACAGCTTGCAGTCTCGATATAGTAAGACCATTTGTTTGTGAAAAATTCTGCCTGCGAGGCTTTAGGAGGAGTGGACACCGCTGTTGCGCACATGGTTTTGCACATATAGACACCGCTGCTTCTCAGGCTAAATTCACCTTGTCATTGACAGACTGATTGAAACTGTCATCAGTTCAGTTACCTTGTCAGACTGACTGCAAGTAGATCGGGAGGCCATCCACAAGAATGAACAGATCATTCGAAAGATCTCATCTTTAGGATTTCCCTGGCCAGGCTGGGCCTGAAATTGCGGGAGGTGGCCAAAGGCGTTTTGGCAGGAGACTGGGGAGCCGGGCAGGAGACGGGCAGGAGACGGGCGGATTCAAGGCGTGTTTGGATGGCCATCAGTCTGGGAAGCATGCTCCGGTGGTCTTTCGTAGGGTGGGTGATAGTGGTTGGGTTGGTGCCCCTGACCACCACGACACTGTGCTGTTTGATGGTGAGTGCTGCTGTTTGAGTGCTTTTGTGGTTTGCTGGTTTGCCCTGCTACTGGAGGGCTGGACTGAGACAGACATAGTTTTTTTTAGCAATTGGTAGTTTCTGATATAATATTGTATGATATTGCATGTACATATGTTTACTAAGACAAAGTATGTTCTGGTCATAGACTGCGCTTTGTCCGGTTGAGCATCAAATAGATTCCCAAACCATTTGCTAATTTGCACGAAACACCTTCAGATGTGGTTGGGTCGAGCTGCATTGCTCTTGGATGTGTCAAGGCTACGTCATGCATGTTCCCGCCAAAGTAGTCATGTCTTCCCACTCCAGCTGAGTTTCATGTTGCTTACCTTTATATAGAAGTACTTGTCTTTCAGTTTTTGCTTTGCCTTCGCCTTCGAAAGTCACTATTGTAACAAGAGCTTGGCATCCGCATAAGGCTGGAGCCTGTGTGTTCGTCATGAAAGCTATCAGCGCATAAACTTCTAAAGCAACTGTCTACTTCTGTTGACTGACAAGATCATGTGATGGTGTTCTTTGTCTTTAGGCTTCTTGCCCCAATGTCTTTATTGCCCAAATCTCTGGGATTTTCAATGGTTTTGGCATCCCGCGGTGCAATTCCGCTTGGGCGAATCCCTTTAGTCACCAATCACTGGTTGCCCTGATCTTTCATTCCCCAGCAAAAGTACTTACTGTATGTTTTATTTTGTGTTTTGGTCTCTTTGTCTGTGCTGTGTTGGGGGCTATTCAAGGACAGTACAAGACATGTTGCAACTCATGTTGCAGCTAATGTTCTATGCCATGTCAGGGCTCATGTTTGGCTTATGTGTGGGTACTACTACAGAGTTCTGTAGTCCAGAAAAAACCGCCAGGCCTCAAGTCTGGAGGTTGAAAAAACACTGGGACCAAGGGCTTCTTCCACCACCCACCAGCGCACAACTAGCACACAGTTTTTGCTGCACACATGGATTCCGGGAGTGCCCACCATAGTTCAAAATTTGGCACTCAGAAGACTCAGTGACAGAAGGAATCTGCATTCACACAAAATTTGCAGGGGCGCATCTCAGTTGGATTCCCTTTACCTCTGGAGCTGGCACAACTGTGGCTTGCATGCCAAACTGCGCCATGTGCATTCACAAATACAGATTTGCTAGCAACGGCATTTTTCGATTTGAGCTCAAACAGCTCATGCTCTAGAGCCTGGATTTTGTTTTGGTAAAACTCGATTGGGCCCGGGCCCGGGCGGTCTTCATCATTCATGGTGACACCACTATCAAACTTGCGGTGATCCATCTCTGGCAAGGTACCACTCTTGGAATGACCATTGCCTTCACATTTGCCACAAATCTGGCCTGGGTCAGAAATCTTTGAATTACACCCTGGCCCTGAAATACATTTTCCTAATAGAACACCACTTGCAACAGCAAGTAGCAAAGTCCACACAATTGCCGTTGCAGGGGGAAGGATGATGGAAATCCCACCTCCCGCTTCCATGGATCAATGCGTCCAAATCCACCTACTTCAGTGGTGCCACAGTGCCTGTGAACCCAAACTGCAAGCAGCCACACAATACACAAAAACCTAACTCTCATGTCACGAGGAAAAATGGGAGAGGGAGAAGTGAAAAGGAGAAACAAAGCTTACAAATAATGCCGCCGAACTCGAACAGATACACTCTGGTTCGTTCAAAGTTCTATGGATCCTGGGTAGTTGTTTTAAGAACAAGTTCAATTCACTACCATTTGCCCGTACGACCAATCAACAAGTCACAAGTCAGTCCTGAACACTTCAACATCTTAGCATCTTCAACAAACAGCAGCAGTGCAGGTGAAACACAATCTCCTGAACGCTCTGCAGATCCGGACGAGAGTGATCTGGCCAGAAGTAAAGCTCAATTTTTCCGCGCAACAAAACTTGGGAAGATTCCTTGCCGAGAGCCACTATGTTAAAAAAGCTCGGCTGCTGAATCCTTCTGCAAACCGTCCCAAATCCCAAAAGATTTTCAACCACAAAATTTGTAGTCCACTCACCAAGAAACAGCTTAGTTGCCATGTCAAAAACGAGCAAACAACAACATGCACCGCACCGTGTATATTAGAACTCTGAGTCTGAGTCTGTATCTGTATCTGTATATGATATTATGGCATTGATTTCCTACCCAAACTGGAAGACTCTTGCGCCGAGCCAAGGGGCACACAAGTGCCTGAACGTCAAACCTGCCTGGACTGCTCAAGCCCCAAGGGCTTCTGCACATCATGGGAAGAATCAAACAAATTTGATGGGGGAAGCCTCCAGGAACCTCACAACCCATGGTAGACAGAATGATACATGATACAGATATAGATACAATGATAGTACTAGTACTACGTAGTACATGTCGTTTGGTTCTAAACAAAAAAATGGAGCAGTCCGCTTGACTCTAGCCACTAGCCTAGCCTAGTCATCCTGGTCCGCTTCTAACTCCTCTTGCGCCACAAGTTGGAACGGTCGCTTCCTCTTCAACACTGGAGGCCATTGCGGTGGCAAAAGTGTTGGTGAGGTTGTACCATTTGAGTCACACAGCGAAGACTCTGCATCAGTATCACATGCGGAGTCACCTTCGAGCAGCATTCTTGTTGAGAGTCGCCTCATTTGGCCCAAAGACTCGCGATGCATAAACACCATTGTTTGTCAGCAAAACGGCAATAAAACACAAATCAGTATTCGATCATGAATCATGAATCATGAAATAATCATAATCGAATCTAATCGAATCATAATTAAATGCAATGCAAGTTGCTCACCGTCATGACCCAGTTCAAGTGCAAATATGCAAAGCCCCATGACGCAGGCTCCAGCCACACTGCTGGTCATGGAATTTCCTCCAAAAAGCGCTGTCAAATCCTCTACGGTAACTATATCAGTACGGCCCGTACGGCAATGAATATATCATATTTATATAATATCATATCATATGTCATATATGCCATCCCGGTTAACCAAGCCAGAAATGTAGCAATTCTCCAATTCAAGCAAAGCAGCAAATTATCTCAAAATTCCGAAAGGGGAACTGGACTTGCCTGCCAGTCGGTTCACCATTGAATAGTCCGTCTTGTCAGGCCACTTGAAATCAGCTGCATCAAAACCTTGGCCTAGAAGTAGTGCCTGCACAGAATGAAAATCAACGGGGTGAAAAGAGATTACCGTTTACCGTTTTGCAAAGCAGCATGGCATTGCAAAAATATATCAAAACCAAAGGCTACTCAGCTACAATTGAAACCCTGCAAGTCTTGAGGTCTCCGTCTGCAACTCTTTTTGTTCACTGCAAGGCGTCCATCTCATATGGAATGGCAGTCGCACAAAGTCGGCTTGATGACCGCGACCTGTCTACTTGGAGCGACGCTTTTTCTTCTTGGCGTCATCTTCGTGATCAGGACGTGTCGCTGGAGCGGTCTTCTTGCCTTCCTTCCCCTCCTTTTGCTTCTCCTTCTTTTGAGCTGATCCTGATCCCTTGTCCTTGTCCTTGTCGTTCTTCTTGTCCTTTTTCTCATGTTTCTTCATTTTCTGTTTCTCTTTCTCCTCAACATTCTTGAGTACATTCTTCTTTGCGTTTTCAATAGTCTCGTCCAAGTCAGCAATCACTTCCTTTGGCAAATCCTTTTTGCCCAGGTGAAAATACTTTTGTGTGTACTTCTCAATCTTGTCAAATAGTTTCTGATCTGCATTGGGGTCACACCCAGCATCGCACCAAATGAGAAGGGTGCAAAGCTGTGCCCCCTTGCCCGCCTTCTCCTTGACACCAACCTTTTTTGTTGCAGCATCCCGGAGAACATCGTTCAAAGGGTTGGAAGCGGAAACATGCTGAGCCAACCTTTCCAGACACTGAACAAACTCCTGAGCACTCTTGTGGGATTCCTTCAAAGATTCAATATCGCCCTTCACCTCATCGTTGCACTTCTCATCAAACACCCAAGCCGCAATCTGAGTGTCATTTTTAGCCACAGCCTGCTCAAGGACCACATACTTCTCATGGAAGGCATCCAGGCCGCCTGCAATGGATGTAGCCTCGGTGTCCACTGCTGCTTTCAGACACTTCAAAAAAGTATCCGAATACTCCTGGCAGTGCTTGTGGGCGTTGGAGAAAGCCTCATGGTCCAGACCTCCAGCTGAGCCACACGCACATGCTGACTCATACACATCAAGGCAAGCTGTCAGCTTGGCGACCTCCTTGTTGCTTTGGAGCTTGGCCAGCTCGGAGGGCCAATCGATTTCCAGTGAATGAGAGAGAGCTTTGAAACTCTTTGGAAGGATCTGTTTCAGTTCCTTGTCCTTGTCGGGAAACTCTTTGGTGGCCAAGGCAACAGTGGCTTTGGCACCACAAACGGATTCCATTCTCCAAAGCATGTTCACAATTGTAGTTGCTGCCCTTCCAGGAGCTGAGCTTCCGTATTGCTCAGGGAGGCCCTTGATGGCATTTTCGCAAACCTGAAGGCATGTCGAGGAATACGATGCAAGCGCACTGAGAAGGGTGATGCCCTCCGCGTCTTTTGCTGCGTTCTGCAAGACTGAGGTCCGTGTGGACCATTCAGTCAAGACAGTACAGCACTTGGCAAGGGACATGTCCACATCATCTTGCGTGGCATGGAAGAAGCCTTGGATCTGGAAGGTCAAAAGGAATTGGAAAAATGATATTAATATTTTAATCTATTATATAATTAATAGCAAATTGGCTGGGTGTCTTTGGATGTTTCACGTGTTGCTCCAGTCAATTCATTAATTCTGGATACTGACACAATGGCATAGTGCATACTGGCATAGGGCCATACTGTGATAACTTGATGACAGTGAAAGAACTGATGAATCCCTGACACGTGACACAAACGTCACAATGCTACAGTCTAGAGTCTAGAGTCGAGAAGGCACACATGACCCAGACCCCAACTCCCCACATGTTTGAAGCCAAAAGACATCGGAGAAGGAACCACGGATCAATCCCTTCAACAAGAGGCGGTGCACTTGGTTGGTAGAGCTCTGCTGCCTTGCAACCGGATGGAATCCCACCATCAGGACTGGACAAGGTAAAGCGCCTATCCATCTCCTCAGCCACCTTTGTCAAAGTTTGGTCAAACTCTGGGTGAAGTGTCTTCCTTGCCCACTCCACAAGTTTGTGCTGCATCCCTGTCATTTCCCCCAACAACTCAATGCCTGAAGACCCTGCATCCTTCAGTTCCTTGATGATGTTCTTGATGCCAACCACTGTTTGAACTCGTGCCTTGATGTCATCGAGGTCTTGACCCTCAAAGCTGCTAAGGTCCAAGAGATTTTTGGCCTCAACTAGCAGAGTCTCACCCTTCTTCTTCAGCTCAGCAGTCGCAGTGATGTTCTTGTGAAGTGTCAGCAGCTTGATCCAGAGCGCCCTGCACAGGCAGTCAATGATTATTATTTAGACAGTTGACAGGATGTGACACGTTGACATCATTGGCTTTGGACCGGATGTCTCAACAGGACTGACTTTCTTCTCAACCGAGAAACTTTTCATTAGGTTATCATTCTCCACAAAAGTGAATGCAACGTAGTATGACTATGACTATGACTCAGTATGACACAAATGAATCAATGAATGACTGAATGACTTGTTATAATGGACAGGACAGGCGGCAGGACATTAAATTCAATGGGCTCTCTCTACATCTGCCCCTCTCTCACGTTTTTTCTCCCTTGGACTTCCAAACAAATCTTTCTTAGACCATGCGGACGCCTCCACTCAACTTGCGCTGACATAGGGTTGATGACACGGGTTGAGAAAGATGCCTTGGCAACCGCCGACATGTAGTCCATATCAGAGGGTGTCTCTCCATTTGCGGCTTTAACAGCCAAACATGCGTAAACTCTCTGGAGATCCGTAATGATGGTTCCACAGAAGCCACCTTCACACATGTAGCCCTCTGTCAGCACATCCCCTTTCCCAGGTGTTGGATACCTCACCAGATTCAACGCAATCAGTCAGTCAGAATCCAGAATCCAGCGTCAACACATACACATGGAAGGAAAACATGTGAAATCTGCGCTGTCATTTGTACTTGACATGGGATACAAGCAGGCGGATGCCAAATCACTGGACTGCATGTTTGCTGTGCTGTGTACTGCATGACTTGACGTCCTTGTACCATGTGTGTGTGTGTGCACTGTGCGCTGTACAATGGCATGTGCTGTAGTGTGCCTCCTATGATCAGACCTGGTCAGCCAGGTGGCAAAAAGGGTCCATGTGGATTCATGTAGAGTCAGGCAAGCTATAATGACAACAATCTGTGGGCAGTCTACATGACACAAGTCTGGAACGCCACTAAGTGCTGAACATGTGCAAAACTTGAAACTTTAGTTAGGAATTTTGTCTCAACATACAAACACTGGACTCCTCTCTGATGCTGGTGAGGAGCCATCGCTTCTCATCTTGGAAATTAGAGAACTTGAGGTGGGGAGGGAGGAACTTCTCGGCGAACTCAAGTGACTCTTCTTTCCGAAGCTTCTCAAAGAAGCCATCAGCAACCTCAAAAACCTGGGCACGTAGAAGGCTGCCCAGCAGATGTGAGTTCTTTTTCTCCGTGGCAAGCTTCTCAAGAGTTGAGAGGCTAAAGGAGCAAGCACCGATGGTGTTTAGCTGCAGGAACTTCCAGAATACTGGATCCTTCGCCTTAATGGCATGACTCATGACTCTCAAACACTTCCAGCTCCATGGTCCATATCGGATCATCATCCTACAAATCTACAGCCTAGTGGCCTAGTGTCACAGTTGTAACTCACCCACAGTTACAGTTACAGTCACAGTCACAGTTGTCTACCGTCTAGAGTCTACAGTTCTAAATTAGTATTCTAAAGTTCTAAATTCTAAAGCCGACCGTACCAGTCTATAGCCTACAAACTACAAACTGTTTGCATATGAGATATCATATGATTCATATGATCATGAAGTATTTTCTACACTGGCTGGCTGTACTGTACTTGATAATTGAATTCTTTGGTTTGATATTTGGTGCGCAATACTTACAAAAAATGTAAATGGTAAACCAGTGCTCAGTACAGTACACACATCCACACACGGGTACAGAGTACACGGTACACAGTACACAGAAAGCATGAAAATGAAGCTAGACTAAGCTCACTGGGTCCAAGTCACTTCAGCGAGCTTCTTGCAAGCAATGTGAATCATGTCCATGAGGACGCTAGGATCTGCAAGCAGCCTATCAGCACAGGCACTCACATGTTGGGCTAGCTCCGTGCCGCTGGACACTTCTTCAACAAGCTGCTTGGCGTCATGAGATCGAAAGATCCTGCATACCTCCTTCAAAGCATTTGTAGTGGTAGCAGCGTCAGCCAACTCATCATCAAGATTGACAGCCCGCTGCTTCTGTTCAGCACTTGCATTTGCCTTTGTGGAAAGCTTCTGCAAATCTGCCCGCACAGATGTCACCTTGGCAATGCGGCGGTCCAACTCATGACCACGGATCTGGCTTCTCCAGATGGCATCTGAAGTGAGCTCAGACAACTGCTGCAGGCACTTCTTGCCATTGGTAAGGCAACTTTCCACACGCTTGTCAGCACCCTTTGTATCCTTCACATCCTCAGGCTTCTTAGGAGCAGCAGGCCCATCCCGACTGCGTTGATTGTCGTCCTTCCTGGCAGCCTTTTTTGGGGCAGCTACGGTTCCCCTTTTCGATGCTGATGCTGATGCATGCTTCCTTTTCTTGCCATCCCCGTCCTCCTCGTCAATGACGCCACCTGTGCCGGCAATACCTCAGCTCCAACTTAGTTGAACCATTCAGCAAGGTCAATGGGAGATCAACTGTTGAACCCTTACCCTGTTGTTTTAATGAATGGGGCGTCCCAAGTTTATCAATAATCTAGAGTATGAGCTACCAACCATCCGCCAGTCACATGTCCCAGAAACTCTGTGTTCAATGTCGATGTAAATCCAAGAGCCCAAAAGTTGTCGGAGTCGATTTGAAACTAGTAGTAAGTAGTAACATACTATACTACTTACAGTAAGTAGTATAGTATGTGTAAGTCTTCTTCAGGGAAACACAGGTGTACCGGTGTACCGTATACCGTATACCGATACCGTATACCGTGGACCGTTGTACCGTGTGTACCATTGTATTGCAATGATAATGATAGAGTCAAAGGAAAGTGCTGCAGCAAAGTCAAGAATCCGAACGACGAGCTGGATGAGGACTCACTATCTGAAGAAGAATTGGAGCTGTCACTGTTTCCGCCTCCATCTTCTTCCTCTTTAAGTGCTTCCTGAATTTGGTCCTGCAAATTGGATTTATTGCAATGCTGCAAATTGCTGCAATCCCTCAAACCCATCCCGAGGAAGCAAACCTGTGATCCGCGCTCTATCCAATCATAGGTTCGCATAGTTTTTAATCATACTTTACTGTCAGCGTTAGTGTTAAAGTTAAAATGCCTGACAACTACAAGAGTTAGCAACTTGTATTGAAGTCTTGACTGGACCCTTGAAACTTGAGACCCAAAAGGTCTATGCTAAAGAAGTGGTAAGTTGCTATGATGCAGCTGCTTTCTTTTCCACACTCCTCTCACTAGTTCCTGAAGGCCGCAGGCCTTTATGTTGCTTGCTGCCATCCACAAACACTCATTGACACATGTTCAGTTCATGTTCATAATACAACCATACAACTGTGCTGTGGGTGTGTGGGAGTGTGGAGCAGTTGAACACACTAACCCAACTGATAAGTTTGGAAAGAACCCAATCTATTTCACTTTGACATGAACTGACCATGAAAAATATGAATGGCGGGATCCTTCTTGTTGGTGTTGATGCCCACAGACTGCTTTGCTGACGTGAATGCCTCTTTCGCTTCCCTCTTGTCATCAAAGTTTTCCTGCTTCGAGCGTGAAGCAGAGACACGATGCCCTGAGAGCATCACCGTGCGATCGTGAACGGGCACGGCATCAGCATTCGTCTTGGGGTCGCGGACTACAGTCAAGCCCAGCTCTTTCACATACTTTCTCCTCTCGGAGAGGTTCTTGAACTTTCGACCCTTGGGGTTGTTGGCAGGGTCATCGGTGAACTCTTTCAAGTCCTTGAGCACTGAGACCTCGCAGGAAAGAAAGAATGGTTCAGGCTAGGTTTTGCTCAGGTCATGCAGGTTTGTTTTTCTGTCAGGATTCCAGGATGGTTGTGCAAAAGAAAAAGAGCTGACAGCTTACTACTTACTTACTTCTGAGTTGTCAGAACCCGACCCCCACTGAAGCTGTAGACTGTAGACTTTACATAATGTGATAGATAGACACTGAAACTGACAACAAAGCTAAACCACCCTGGCAGTGCTGGTTTTTGTGTCACCATTTGGCCAAATGTGCCTGGCCTCTTGAAAGTCCACATATTCCTTTTCACTGCGCTTCACTAGTTCTTGTAGATTGCAGCGTTCATGTCTTGGTTTCCGTCCAGGAAACAGGCACTTCTCCCGTATCTTCTCCCGTCGGTTGTTGTAGAACCTTAGATGATTGATGGATCAGTCAGAGTTGGAATCTTGCTTGCCAACTACTTTTCCTGGGATAAGGGCCCGAATTGACAAAGAGGCAAGCATACTGCCACCGCATATTCTGACATGACACAGAGGCTCAGAGCTGGTGGTACATGAAAGCAACAAACAAATAGCAAATACCGTAACCAAAGCAAACACTAAGATTATTGCAAATTCTGTTGAGTTCAAATGAGGCACTTGTCATGAACTGTTTGGTGCTCCAAGGTTGCCGCCTTTACTTCCTGCTGCTTCACACCTGGGAAACTTCCTCTCAATGGGTAGAAGCAACCGGAGCACAAAGAGGATCGGTCTTTGCAACGCACCACCAGTACTTCATATCCCGCTGGGGCGTCCTCAAACACAATGCAGCTGGCGCAGTGCAAATAGTGTGAAGCCTTTGTAACATGTATCATGCAACGCTCCAATATCGTTTCCATGAGTTATACTTTACTAGAGTCTATCAGTCTATCAGTCTATAGTCTAAGCCTGCCTATATCATATATCGGTACGGTATATGGTAATTTGACATGTTGTCTTCCAAAGTTGTTTTGACTCTTTCCTTTCCTTCCTAGGCCGACCCTTACTCTTACTGGCTCTTCCACGTCTACCCAAGCCAAAGTTGAAATACCCACAATTGAATCTACCAACCAACCGTTTGCCATTGTTCATCAAAGTGTCTCGGTCTGGCTTTCCAAACTCTTGCTCACACATGGCGCAACAATCTCCCCCTGAACAGCCACATGGACGCTCTTGTTCCGGTGCTGAATCCCCCATCAGCAAGCGGTCACAAGTGAGGAGACTGCCACAAAGCTGTGTTCCACAATTCGGATCTGATCAGCTTGAGGTCATGGGCCACGGAGTGTAGTACAAGCACGATACAAACGATACAATCTAGAATTTGACTTGTGAATCTGACCAATCTCTACCGTCTAAAAGGTGACCAGGTGTCTAATTTTTTCAAAACAGTTGACGATTGATGTTTCTGAAGACTGTTAAGTAATCCAAATAATCTCTGTCTCCGACTGACTGGAGAAATCTTGTTTTGCAAAAGGAAGGAATCAAAGTCCCACCTCGCCAGGGCACCACTCACGTCGGCCAACGTGGAAGACCTTCATTTGTGTGCTGAAGGCGGCCCCGTAGCCTCTGTAGTATAATCCCATTGAGTGGGTGCTGCTTCCTCGGCATGAACCGTCAAGGAAACTGCATGGACTAGGGTGAGGTAGGCAAGCTGAATCAACAATCCAAGAACTGCTGCTTGGCATTGCTGTATTAGTGTCAGTAAGTCAGTATGTATGAGCATGAGTTGATTCCACATGATTGGTTCTAGATTGTATGGCGGCATGGCCCACATGGTTGCATGTGACTGTATGTATGTGCTGTATCTGACTGTATGTGTCATGTCCTGTGAATCTGCATTCCACCTGCTGCATGCCATTTTCTGAAGTGCTAAAAAACAGTGGACAGTGGACCTGCTGCAGTAGATGTGTGTCTGTGTGTGTGGCGTCATGACTACACAAATGCCAAAGTGAACACCAACTGAGCACCAGTCTCGCAACATCCACCAGGGCTTTCTTTGGATGGCGGTCCTTTTCCTCAGCTCAGCCGTCCGACCAATACATGATCGCCTAATTCAATTCACATATAAACCAGGACCACACCATACCACACAGTCACTGTACTGTATACCATAATGCAACAATACTAATACATTATTCAAGTTTATCAATTCAAAGACATTAAAACATGAGTTCATGGGTGGTGCCTAAAAGAATCCAAAGGTACAGGTGGGTGCACTTTCTAGACCAACCAGGTGGCTGTATACACTGTATACTGTATACTGTACTGTACTTTGTACCATAGAGGACTGTATTTACTGCCACTGCTACTGGTAAGTATAAACATGGGCCCCGGGTTAATCTATAAATAAATATATAAGTACAGTACAAGTTCCACGAGCATAGCATAGTTGTGAATTGTGAATTATGACTTATGAATTCTAGTTTTCTGAACGTAGCTTCATGTGAAGCTAAGTCTGCTTCTATGATATGATTCATGATATGATATGATATGATTTTATGATGATATGATATGACTCAATGATTCATGGTACAACAGGCAGGTCAATGCTATCAGTCTACTATACAGTACAGTAACTGTAACACTAAAATTAATCACACAGTACTCACAGTAGTTAAGTTAGCAAGTTTGATTTATGCACAATTTCAAAGTTCAGCTAAATTGAGCAAAGTTACTACTGATGTGACAATGATAGATTTTGATATTATGTCTCTAAGTTATATATATATATTATTTGATGATTGTATTATGATTCACATGTTTCATGAGAGTTATACGATGATAAACGATATGATTCAACTATTATATAATGATATATAATGACAATATATGATATGATATGATATGATTCATGATGTTATGATATGATTTGATTGGTATTTTTAATTATCATATTTAGTAGCCATATAGCTGTAAAGTGAACGGTTCAGAACGGTTCACTTTTCATGTTTTGTGAAGTTTTCTGTGAAAAGTGAACGGTTCAGAACGGTTCACTTTTCCAAAAAAGTTGTGAACTAAAGTGAACGGTTCAGAACGGTTCAGAACGGTTCACACTTTTGAGGGGTTTGCAAAGTGAACGGTTCAGAACGGTTCACTTGGCACCATGCTGATGTAAAGTGAACGGTTCAGAACGGTTCACTTTGACCTTTCAATTATAGTAGCCTTGGGATATTGATATATCATATATCATATATCATATATCAAATAATAATATATTAAGATTTATAGTCTTGCTTGTGATTATATAAGTGTTCACTTGGACTTTGGACACGTAGCTTATATGAGAGGCCGCCTCTTCACCTTTTGACATAGACAACAAACTAACAACTGACTAATCTTAACTTATCTATGATTATGTTATCTATGTATAACCTCGTCCAGTAAACCAGTATTAGCTGAGGTCTATATGGTCATTGGGAAGGTGATCATGATACCCAAGGCGGCAAAAGTGCACAGGCAATCCGATCCCACCACGAAACATCGTGATATGATCTCGACACAAACCATACATATCAAATCAAATGAAGTAAGATTTGAATCACCCATATTCATCCCAGCTCTTTCTGAGGCTGTCCCATGTCCCAAATCTAGACCTCACAGAGTTCAAGTGTAGTCAAGTTTCCAACAACTTGGCACACTCTATGTCCAGCTTGGCAATCTCACGGGAGTTGAACAGCCTTTGAACCTCCTCTTGGCCCAGCCAGCGAGAGCAAAAGCCCTGGCCGGGCTCAATGCCCAGTTGCTTCTGCAGATCGTTGATCTTGGCAGCAGCACTTTTTTGGGCACCACGGGGCATAGCGTCCTGGAAACAGTCAGTAAATGTATACCAAACAGGACAGCTATAGGACACCCTGAAATTCTGAAAGGCAAGGAAAAGGCAATCATCCTCATCAAGTCTTCATCTAACAAAGGAACCTGTGAACCGTTCACAGGTCAAAAAGAACTAAAGTGAACCATTGTGAACCATTGTGAACCGTTCACAGCCCTCAAACACAAGACTAAATAATGTTATATGCCATGTTGCGGCCCATGTCGCAAGTCATGCAAAAGATCAGTAAGATTCGATGGAGTAAGATACTTAGATACTTTACAGTAAGATAAGACAGTAAGACTGTTACCTCAACTGCCAGAACTCTTTGCCATCTTTGCCTGCTTGCCTCCACATGCTAAATGCCCACCAAAAAAAGAGGAACAAAGAACTCAGAGAATTGTCTAGTACCTGCACTGCACACATGACTACATGACTCAGACTCATGCTCTAATGGCTCTAATGGCTAATGGCTCCAACTCTGACTCTAACGAACAAAGAAACCAAGCGTCCTTCGACTTGCCTGGAAAATGACAGGTGTCCACATTGTGTATGCAATAGTTCCAGCCTCAGAAAAAGCGTTCAGTCATATCAGTGTGGCTTATCCCGTATCTGTATCCTGTCAGACTTGTGACAGGTGACAGATATGATATGAGTCAAGTATGAAACCCAAGACCAATGAGCAAAAACAAGAACTTGTAGCAATACCTAGACAAAGGATCTTTTTACAACTTAACTTAACTTGTGATGCTGATGCTGGTTATCAACATCAGTTGCAGTGCAGTGCAAACAGGGCACAGTCGTCCAAGGACATCCTCGTATGGATGCTTGGGCACTTGTGCTCGATCCACTCACACATCTTCTCAAAGATAGTCTCATTACATACATCCACTCGCGCTCCAATCATGTAGCAGCGCTTTCTCGCATTGGGTGACCCAAAATCTTTTGACCTAAGGTTCATGGGTGAAGACTTCATCAAACAGACTATGGACTACTACTATGAAAGAATTTGATTTTTGTAACATCCCGAAAAGTGACACAGACAAGGCACAGGACAATGGAATGTTAAAACTTTTGGATCACTCCAGGTGACCAGGTGCTACTTGATCATTTGAAATGCCCTGCTGGCATGTCACTCAATCTAATCAATCTAACATTCCATCATGCGATATCATGATATCATTGATATCATTGATATGATATCTATCATGCATGAAAGTCCGACTCTTAGAAGAAACGTCCGAGCGGCTGCAACTTGAGAACCTTGATGTGATATGGAATGAAGTCCTTCTCCAAGTGACCGGTCCTTGAACAATCAATAGTGCCGGAAGCCCTGAAAAGAACAACAATGACAACAACAGCATCAGCAGTAGCAACAACAACCGACAACAGAAACAAAAACAACAGCACCAAGAACATCAGCAACTGACAACAACAACACCAACAAGGACAACAACAGCAACAACAACAACAACAAACACATAAAACATCTGACGGCAACCAGTAACTGACAACAACAGCTGAAAACAACAGCTGACAACAACAGTGGACAACAACAACTTTAACAACGAAGACAACAATGACAACAACAATGCAACAACAACAACAATGACAATGATAACAACAACATCAACATCAACATCAGCCAGAACAATAATTGAATAACCATTCATAAGTCATAAGACTCATAAGTATAAGTTACATAAGAAATGTTGTTTGGTGTTGCTTGAACGTCCGAGTGCATTGTTTACATATTCCAACATGGTCGATGGTCTGAAAACAAGGATCCGGGGATCCCGTGTTGATCACTCCTAGACTCCCGGAAATTAGAACTTGCAACAACAAATGCAACTCCCTCAACTCAACGTCGCCAACAACTGCTGATGTTTGCATCTCGATGCCTTTTGCAACAACAAGGTCAACAAGCACAGCTGTGGCATACTGCCATGGGCCATGACAAAAAATGCTTCATGGGTTGATAACCTTCAGCCTAATGCCAATTTACAACCAAAGATACAAGTGCGGCCA